TGGAAGATGTGGACTTGGAAACAAGACGACGATTATGGCTTCAACAGGACGGTGCACCGGGTCGTCGCTCACTAATAGTTCGTCACTTCTTGAACCAACGATACCGAAGACGATGGATAGGCATTGGTAGTGACATTACTGAGTGGTGTCCAAGATCACCAGATCTAATAAGTCCAGATTTCTTTTTATGAAGCTATTTGAAAAGTGTTGTTTATGCACAGCAACCAACAACACGGCAAGATATGATGCAACGCATTATACAAGCTTGTAGAGCTATTCCGCGTCACGTTTTATTGTCCACAGTTGAAAACTTCGAACGTAGAATTCAACACTGCATAAATTTGAACAACAGTAATTTTGAACATTTTATAAAATAAATGTTTGTGTACCTACATTGCGAAAACTCGGTCAATTCCATGGGTCTGCTTCATAAGCACTTTCTATTTTATCATTACTTCATTTCATACAAGAATTTAAGGTAAAAGTTCAATATCTATTTATTCCATCAAATTTGTTAATCATCATCAGCGCACGGCACCATTCGATCTGCAAAAATTGAATAATTTTTTGATATACTAGTAAACGTATTCTATCCGAAAAACGATAATATCTGTGATGAGTAACGACGCATACGAGTTTTCACCGTGTCTACGCCCTGTATATCAATGACATGCTTCATCGAATCAATTTTCTTCTTGGACATCTTGGAAAGGTTAACTTTCAATAGTTGGCCACTCATGTTGTTGTAGCTATAGTTTAGCGGGCCCGCAACTTCAGCTTTCACTCGTATCATTCATTTAAAAGGGAATCATCGCACGGGCTTCTATTTTCTGTGCAAACGCATGCTAATCACACCCTTTGTCAACTCGTCAGCTCACGGTACTCGACCAGGTTTTCTTCTAAAAATTAAGATAAAATTCACGCCTAGGAGACCGAGTCATCCTGCAGCACGTTTATGCAGGCCTAAGCCACGATCGCATGCTCTACATAGTCTGTTGCTATTGTCAGCCTTAGTATTCCGCTTATCTTTCCTGGGGTCCCTGAGAAACTCTGAACTGTAATCTCTAATCCAATGACTTTCTTTCGATTCTTGTTCGTATTCCTATGATGTACTAATCATGCACTTGTCTATCATACTAGTCACTTGCGTGTTAGTGTCAGGCATCGCATTCTATGGGTATTCGCAATCCTTACAATAACTAACGGTAGATTTTTCACAATGTAGACAAGCATAGTATCAATAAAAGCGTGGGTCATCAAGGCATTCAGTCATGCCATACATGACTTCTGGTCGGCCCAAAACCTAAGGTGTTTAAAAATACGAGTAATTGTTATGGTTGTGATAAACTTTACACACCCTTGTCCGTCACCGAACACCACCATCACTACATCCACTTCGCCTAATTCCTTTCACATGGTATCTAACTATTCATCAACCGTAATAAATCGGAGCTGTCAACTCACCATAAAGTACTGCTCTAGAAAGCTGTACTCAAGCTAATCTGGATCTATAGCACTCAATTATGCGATGTTGCTTCTAACTCAAATATTGAAATTTTAGAAAGATTTCAATCGAATGTCCGACGTAATATGATATGGGCTCTAGGTTCGCCACGAATAAAATTATCCGAAATGATTTCCAGGTTCTAACAATAAAATAAAAAAATTTTTTTTTATTTACTCCACGTTTATTTACAATCTATCTATAAAAATGAGACAATAAGTAAATGTTCACTATTATGAAAATTCACAAAGTATAAAATATAATACTCCAGTGAGTATTGTGTTTATTTTTAACTTATATGAGTTTTATATATTAATAATTTTGGTTTTATTTTATATTAATCAGTTTATATTTCTTCAATCTGGTAATAGTGATCATTATCGTAAGAAGTTTGCTAATAAGATTTGAATATTTGAATTTGAATCGGCACCCTATACTTAAATGTTATAAGATTGTTTTACTTATCGTTTTGTAAAGCAGTATTTTATTTTCTATTGTAAGTTCTGATACTTTTCCAATAAGCCAGTACATTTTTTCCATTGTTATCACAGTTGCTTAAGTTTTCCAAATATTAGATCTTTCCATCTAAGCTTCTGGTCTAAGTGAATTCCCAAGTATTTCACATGACTGTTTCGTGGTACGTATCTGACGTACAATTAAATAGCTGGACAGGTATTTTTATACGTGTAAAAGTTGTATGTGTTGATTTACTTTAATTTACTTTAATTCTCCATGAGTTTAGCCAGCATTGTAGATAATTATTGATATAATTTTATATCATTTTCACTGCTATTTTCACTTCCAAGTGTAATGTGACAATGGCTTTGTCGTCTACATATGTTGCTGTCATGATGTTTGGAGATTTTGGCAGATCAGCGATAAATAACAAGTATAATGTTGATTCTACTACGTTACCTAGCGGTAATCCTGCTTTTATCATCTGTCTTTTTGATGGTTTTTATTTATTTTGACTTGAAATACTTTGTAGATACGTTTTAATTTATGATAATATTTTGTAGATATGGTTTAAGTAATTCATAGTGTTTTTCTGGGACATATTTTTTTAATTTATGTAGAAGACCTTTATGCTATACTTTATTAAAAGCCTGTACGACGTCAAGGAATATGTAGGTGCAATATTGCTTTTTTTTCTATAGATTTTCTTGCTGATACTATTCCTATCTATCTACTGTTCTATCATGGAGTAGTTGCATCTGGAACGAAATTGATGGTCTGGGATAAATTTTCTATTTATTATTATTGGGTTAATTCTAGCTAAAATTTCTTTTCAACAATTTTTGATAATACCGACGAAAGGCTAATTGGTTTATATGATGTCACTAGTTCATTTACTTTGCCAGGTTTAGAAATTAAAATAATTTCTACCATTTTCCATTTAATAGGAAAATAACACAGACGAAGACATGCATTGAAAATCATTGTTAAATATCTTACTGCTATAGTAAGTAGCTTTTTAATAATTTTTCCTGTAATATTATCAAAACCGGGTGCACTTTTGTTCTTCATATTTTTGATAATGGATAATACTTCCTTTATTTTCATTGCTGCAATTGGTGTACTGTCTTTGACGTTCAGATCTTCTACTTAGGATTTTCTTCTTGTTCGATGATTATTCTTTGATGAGGTTTGAATACTGTGTATAAATGATTGCCAAACGTATCAATTTTTTCCTCTTCTGATCAGCCAATTCACCACAAGATTTTCTGATTAGTGAAATAAATGATGTTGGTCTGTTAAGTCTATTGCTAGCTTTCCATAATGAGTAATCTGTTGCTTCTGTTGGACTCAGTTCTCTGAGTTTCTTTTGCGTTTGAGAGTTTTTTTTTTTGATACAATAATTTCTTTAATTTTCTGACTGTTTTATTTAGTTTTGTTATATCTTGGTTCAACCTTATTATATGGTATCTTTATCTTAATAGTTTTTTTTGTTTAAATTTTACAGCTATTGTATTTGAAGTGAATTGTTGAGATTCTTTTAATACTTATAATACTGGAGCTTTTATCTAGAGTTACAGATAAGAGTAGGTTAAACAGTTTAATACCATTTTATATTTCAGTATCTGACTTTTAAGGTATAATTGTTTTTGTTAATTGTATTCACTAGTGTCATGCGAACTAATAATAAAAGAATATAGTTATCTCCTGTAGCTATAAGAACATATGTCATACACGTGTATTCGTTGCACACGCGGGCCGACTGAAGTAGAAGACATAAGATAGGCCGAAACAAACAAACTGTACGCGGTAAATACATGATAGACCAGAAATGAAATAGAACATAGACAGCTGCAAACCTAAATAAACAATTAAGCTATACGAATCTCTCGGTTCCCAGGATATACTTGTTCCTGAAGGAAGTGGTAGTGACTTATCTTAAGTTTGTGAGCCCCCGAGAGGGACAAGCGCAGGCAGTCTTGTACACGATCTCGCCTTGTAAAGACATCTCTCTGGAGCTCTGTCACTTTATAATAAAAAGTATTATTATATAACTGCCGACTTCGACGCCTAGATTCCTGCAAGTACCCACACGCGCCTTATAACTCGACCATCGCTACTGCAGCGTGTAAAACTTGCCGTGACAATCATCAAAATTGGATGACACTAGATTTTATAATGGTTTAATGTTCTCTACAGTATAAACGAAGATCGGAGTGGATTTGCTTTTCAACTTATTTGCTTATTTTATTCTTCTGTATTATGATTTTCTTTAATTTCTTTATTTTTTTTGTAGTTATTCACACTTATTGATTATGTTACTTAGCCAGTAGTCTGATTATTGGGCTTGTCGGTTTTTGTTTTGAGTTTGTTTTTCTGGACCGTTTCTTTGTCTTTTGCCGCCTATGATTTTCTAGTTTTTGTTGTTTTTATTAGGAGTGGTTTTGTCATCTCCTGACTAAGTGGCCATTTCGAAAATTGTTTCTTTTGAGTTTATTAAATTAAATTTTGAATTTAATTATTTCTTCGCTGATTGGCTAATACTTTTTGGCTTTTTGGCTAGAGCGCAGTGTTGATGTGACTGCACACCTCAGTAACCAAATGTTAACTGAAAAAAAAAAATTAAAAACTTGTATATAAAATACAATACTAGACTTCGTAACCGATCTGTAATAAACTTTTCAGCGAACTACTCAAGATATCTATTACTAATACAAAGCTCAAGAAACTAAAAGTTATAAATGCAGAAATTTGGTACACATATCATATGTCAATAACCTTTACTTATACTCTCAATATGTTTGACAAATTCTAAATAAACTTGAATAAAAAAAATATTTAAAAAAAAATTTATTTGCAAGTCTAATTTGTGATGAAATTAAGTTAAATGGAACATCATGAATCATATATTTATTACAGAAGCAGATAATTTTTAGTAATGAGTAAATTTATGCCGAATCATGTTACTGACAATTTATTGTAGAATTTATATCAATAATTATCCAAAGTATTTTATATAAAAATACATTCAATGTCTTACCGGTAGCTGCTGACAAACCAAAGTAACCATTTTTCGGTAAGGTAATATTGTCTACGCGAAAGCATACCTCATAGTCCTCCTCGCTATTTGTCATTCCACCATGAAACAGTAACTGTAAGTATCAGAACGGTTTAGTTAAGTTTGATATTTAGAATTCAATATAAATTAATTTCAAATTTTTAACTGACCGTTAATGAGTTTTCATAGTATTCTATTTTGGCTTTGGTCGGAAATAGTTTATTTCGAAAATCTCTCAAACAACCTGCTAGGATCTGTGAACCGCCATCACTGAAACAGTGGAAATAGAGTTTATGAATACATGTACATCCACTTATACACACATACGCGCATACACATACATATGTATACTCGAGGATTCTGTTAGCTGCGCTTTCTAACCACCCTATGGTAAATTTCATAGAGTTAGATAATAACAAGGGTCGTTCAACAAGTCCATGACTTTAAATAAAAAAACACTAATTATTTAGATAATTACAATTTATTTTTAAATATTGTCCTTTTTTAACTTTATACATTTATGATAGCGATTCTCAAGCTTTTTTATGACCTCTTTTTATGATCTAAAAGTAATTTTTATCAAACTCCTAAAAATGCTCATTTTTCGCAGCAATTAGCTCATCGTTGGATGAAAATCTTTTATCCGCAAGCCAAATTTTCATAATAGGAAACAAAAAATAATCGGAAGGGTCAAATCTGGAGAATAAGGTGGATGAGAAAGTATTTCGTAGCTTAAATCAAATAATTTGGCAGTAATGGAACTCATGTGAACTGATGCATTGTTGCGGTGGAGAAGAACTTTTTTTCGCTAGATGGGGCTGCTTGTTCTTCAGTATGGCATCAAATCGGACTAATAATGAGATATAATATTCTCCTGTAATAGTTCTCAACTATTGAAGGTATTCAATTTATATTATAACACTTGAAACTTAAGAAATTGTAGCCATGACTTTTCCAAATGATCGTACCATCTTTGCTTTTTTCGGCGTAGATTCACCTGGCCTGGTCCACATTTTCGACTGATTTTTCGTTTCTGGTAATAATAATGCATCTGTGTTTGATTAATAGTAATATAGCGTCGCAAAAACTCCTTTGGATTACGTTGAAACTTGCACAAACATTGCTCAGATGCAACCACATGAACTCGCTTGTTATCAGCTGTGAGCAAGCGCGGCACCCATCTTGCAGACAACTTTTTCATGTCCAAACATCCTTGGAGTCAGTATCTAGCTCTTGGTGGGTGCAGATGTATTAGCGGTAAACTCCTTACAAAGGGAAATGTAGGCAATTCGTTTGATCTACTATTCCAATTAGAATGAGAATAAACAAATTTTAATTAAAGTACATAAAATTAAGAGATAGTGATAGCCGTTTGATTTAAATAAATATCTGGCTGGGCCAAACGGAAAATGCCCAAACTATTAATACAAATTGCGAAAATTTAATAGATAACAAAAATCAATATAACGAGGCTTGGACTGAATTAAAAAAACGGAAAAGAAAAGGAAATAGTCCAGAAATAACACTTCAAAGTAAAAATAAGAAAACAACATTAAAAGACTACTGGCTAGGCAAGCCAGTATAAATAAAAAACTCATTTGGATAGTTATAAGATGCACCAGAATCTAATGAACCGTCAAGCCAAGACAAACCATCCAAATCGCTTCCAATATTCGTGACAGGAATAGAAAACATAAGACCGTTAAAAAAAGAACTTGATCGTATAGCAAAAGAGATTTAAAATCCCGAACAACAATAAAGTTAGAATACAACCAGTGTCATCTCAATATTACAACTCAATAATAAAAATACTATAAAAGAAAAATGCTGAATTTTATACCTATCAAAGAAAACAGGACAGAAATTACAGAGTAGTGCTAAAAAATATCCATTCTTCCGTCGATACGAAGGAACTAAAAATAGAAGTAGAAAGCTATAACTATAAAGTAAAAAACTTTACCAATATTAGACAGACCTAAACAAAAATACCAGTATCACTCTTTTTCATTGAAATAGCAACTCAAGATAACAACAAACAGATTTATGATATAGTTAGACTCCAAAACACAGTGGTAAAATTTAAACCACCAAGAAAAAAGAGGGAAGTCTCCCAGTGTACCAGATACCAGGGATTTTATCACACTAAAAATTATTGCAAAAAAAATCCGCTTGTATCAAATGCGCAAAAAGCCACATAACAGTGGACTTTACAATAAAAGAAAAGATAAAAAATGTCAAATGTGCAAACTGTGAAGGAGATCATCCAGCCAGCTACAAAGAATGTAATGTTCGAAGATAATTAGTACAAAAACTATTCCCTCCAATAAGAGAAAAGACGTTAAACTCAATTAACAATCAACAAGAAGATAATAGTAGCATGAACATTAAAAACACAAAAATTTCTTACCCGCAAGCTGTTAGCGGAGATGGTTCCAAGCAAGAGCAGAGTCCCGAAAAGTTAGATTTAAATAAACAAACTTTGGTTGTGATAAACAAAATGGAAGAAATGATGACTAAGATGATGATGAAAATGGAAATATTGTTAAACCTAATAACCACACTACTAAACAAATCTAGCTTAATGGAGTTTAATCTTTTAATAGCTATTTAGAACGCTAACGGATTAGCCCAGAGGATTAACGAATTAAAATTCTTTCTTAATGACTACAATATAGATATAATGCTAATCTCTGAAATTCATTATACAAATAAAAATTACATATGTATTTCAAACTACAATATATATTTTACAAATTATCCTGAAGGTAAAGCGTACGGAGGTGCAACGATAGTAATAAAAAACTTAATAAAACACGAAGAATGGGAAAGTTATAAAGAAGTTTTTCTACAAGCTACCAGTATCACAGTTGAAGATAGTAACGGCAAAATCACGATTTCTACCATTTACTGTCCTCCTAGGTATACAATTAAATAAGAAAAATACACTGAATTTTTCACAAAGTTGGGGCAACGTTTCATAGCAAGTGGTGACTACAATGTCAAACATCCTAGGTGTGGATCGAGATCTATAATTCCAAGCCCAAAAGATCGGCACCTATACGAAGCAATCCAACATGAAAATCTTATCCCATTAACAACCGGAGAACCAACCTACCGACCAACTGATACAAGAAAACTACCAGATCTTATTGACTTCGCAGTAATGAAAGGTATTACAAAAGAAAAATTCACTACTAAATCCTGCTTAGATTTGACATCCGATCACTCCCTAGTTCTAATTCACTTTTAAGAAGACCTTATGAAAACACAATATAATAATAAGCTCTACGAGAACTCAAAACAGACTGGCAAAAATATAAAGACTATATAAACGATATTATCGGTTGTAATATATCACTTAAAACAATTGAAGAATTGAAAACAGCATAGAAAAATTCAACATACTTTTACATGAGGCAGCTGCAGAAGCTACTCCATCACAAAAACAGGGCCAAGTAACTAGCACAATACCTCATCATATCGCCGAAAAAATAAACGAAAAAAGGAAACTAAGGAAAATTTTGTAATACGTGAGATCTTGAAGGGATAAAGCCAAACTGAATAAAGCTATCAAAAATTTAAAAGAATCGTTGAAAACAGAAAGAAATGAGGGGATTCAAAACTATCTAAAAAGCTTATCACCAACAGAAGTCACAAATTATTCCTTATGGAAAGCAACACAAAAAATTAAAAAACCAAAAAATTTTTTAACACCAATAAGACTACCTGATGGAAAATGGACAAGAACGAAATAGGAAAAGGCTATTTTGCTCAACATTTTTTTAAAATTTTTAAACCAAACCAAAAACAAATCTCAAAGGAAGGGGAGGAAGAACTACTAGTGGATAAGTATTGTAAAATGCAAGATGAAACTACATAAATTAGTAACGTTAGAGCAAGAGAAGTACAAAAAATAATAAAATATCTTAAAAATCGAAAAGCTCCTGGTTATGATTAGCCAGCATCGAGTTACACATACAAAATAGAAAAAAACTAATAATTTTGATGATTTAATAACTTAATTATACATATTTCATTAAAACGATAAATAAAATTTAACATTGAAAGCAAATACTTGCAACATTTTAAATTTGAATCGATTTCGGTAACATAATAATTATTAAAATTAGATTTATCATTCAATATGACTTATAACAAACTACTGCTTGTATGGCATCATAAGTTAATATACGCATTATATTCGCTCAAACCACAATATAATTAGAAGCGTAATCTCTTCGAATATTATTGTTTATGTGCGTTTTCGTTGATGACAAACGTTGACTTACTCTACTAGATCTCTTATGTCGCTTACTAATAATCATGAAGATAATGATTTGTTGCGTCTTTCTTTGTTCGATGTGATTTCCGTCTTTATCAAATTTTTCGCCGAATATCGTCAAGGAGGTTTTAGACACGTCTTATACTATAAGATATATTTATTATATTTTCATGTTACAATTGTTTTTTTAGGTGATACGCACTGTAACGGGGTTGCTTACCGTTTAATTATTTTTATTCGGGCGATCGCGTAAATACGCTCGTAATCACCTATATCAAATAAAGTCGGAGAGCAAGAGGGAACGGATGTCAGTCAACCAACAAATCTACGAATCTACAGGAGTGGAATCAATACGGAATAACCACGTCGAAAGTACTTGTTAATATCACGAACGAAAACTCTTTATTGTCCTCTCATAATACAACGCTAGCATTGGCCCGCGTGTTTATGTTTATGGTAGCGCTCGCACGACGACAACATGCAGTGTCGGATCGCTCGCCGCTCTTTGTTGGCAGAGCTATTACATGCACGCTTCGCATCGAATACGAAAGATCAATTAACATGCATGCAATCGCGGTCGCGAGATTAAGCTGGCCAGCTTACCTTTATTTTGCAGACGCACGAAGACGAAGGGAACAATTCGCACTGCGGGAAAGTCTGATTGTTCTTTTTGTCGCGGATCGCGAATTCGCGCGCACGTGGTTTCGCCCTCGATGGCGAGACCTCACACACACACACTTGATGCCGTAGGTAACGATGCTGCTTGTTCAGCTGGCTCAGGTCTGCACGCCGTGTAGCTCGGTGACAATTATCCTGGACTCTGGTACACGTATCGGCAATTGGTTCGCAAACCTCGACTTTTCTGGCTTCCGCACCGATAGCTGGTTCTCCACTGGTTCATTTTCAATCGCGCGCGTTCCGTCTGCTCGCGTGCCGAATTCCCTTATGATCCTTTCCTCGAATGTCGAAGGTGGGCGCCTGTTCGGCT